CATATCACATACACAGCAGCTGCAAGTTCTTCACGGCAACCCGTCAAAATAAACGTTTAGTTTAACGTTAAACTGTCAGAATATATTACTATTTAGCAGTCTGAAGACTCAATGCTACTACTGCTAATAAATATTAATAAATCTTTATTTTTAAAGGAATAATCACATCTGTTTTCTTTTTATTTTTAACAGTAAACCTCTGTTGTGCAGCACTTTGTTTGCCCAAAAAAATTAAAGGGTTTAATTTTAATTTGATTATAAATTAAATTAATGTTTTATGCCTTCATCTGATTACCAGAAAAATTAAGAACATTTTATAGGGCCCTACTATTGTTTAAAAAGGACCCTATACAAAAAAAAGAATAGGTTTAAAATACAGGCATGTGGTTCTTAATTTCTTTTTATTAATTCACTATTTGTAAACTGACGTTTACTGTTCATTTTTTTAGAAATATCAATAGCATTTGTATTAAAACTATATTCACTGAATGTAATCAAAACATATCGAGAATCGAAAGCTTGCGAATCGAAATCGAATTGAATCGGGACATCTGAATCGATACCCAGCCCTACATTTGCGTTGATGATGAACTGTTTAACTAGTTAAAATGGTTCATGGATTTTGTCCATTAGATGTGCATTGGTGAAGAGTGAACTTTGGAGTCCTTTGTCATCTTAAAAAAACACAAGACTGTTGCTTTGCACAATTAACCCTAGGCTAACTGAGACTTATGTTGGTTTTGATTGCTTCTATTGTCCTCATTTGGACAAAAGCCTCTTAGCAGTCTGAAGACTCAATGCTACTATTGCTAATAAATATTAATACATCTTTATTTTTAAAGGAATAATCACATCTGTTTTCTTTTTATTTTTAACAGTAAACCTCTGTTGTGCAGCACTTTGTTTGCCCAAAAAAATTAAAGGGTTTAATTTTAATTTGATTATAAATTAAATTAATGTTTTATGCCTTCATCTGATTACCAGAAAAATTAAGAACATTTTATAGGGCCCTACTATTGTTTAAAAAGGACCCTATACAAAAAAAAGAATAGGTTTAAAATACAGGCATGTGGTTCTTAATTTCTTTTTATTAATTCACTATTTGTAAACTGACGTTTACTGTTCATTTTTTTAGAAATATCAATAGCATTTGTATTAAAACTATATTCACTGAATGTAATCAAAACATATCGAGAATCGAAAGCTTGCGAATCGAAATCGAATTGAATCGGGACATCTGAATCGATACCCAGCCCTACATTTGCGTTGATGATGAACTGTTTAACTAGTTAAAATGGTTCATGGATTTTGTCCATTAGATGTGCATTGGTGAATAGTGAACTTTGGAGTCCTTTGTCATCTTAAAAAAACACAAGACTGTTGCTTTACACAATTAACCCTAGGCTAACTGAGACTTATGTTGGTTTTGATTGCTTCTATTGTCCTCATTTGGACAAAAGCCTCTGCTAAATGACTAAATGTAATCCAATTCTGCGCAAAACTACTTCACATAAATGTAAAAGCGCTCCGTAATGATTACTGTCCATCGGTGCAGTTACACATTTCACACTGCAACAGTAGTACGGTAGAGTAGTATGTTATTCTGCTATTCTGAACACTCACGCTCGAGAAACAAACTCTGCAGGTGCGTCTTCAGCGGCCTGTCGTCAGGTCAAAGGTTACGCCGCGCTCTCGCTCTCCCGGCTGAAGTCAGACGAGCTGGAACGCTGCCGGCAGAAGTCGATGAATATTCCCTCGGCGTCTGAGTCCAGAGACTCCAGGATCTGGTCCACGATGGGAGGAGACGGATCCTCGCAGACGTCTGGCTCTTCTGCGCAGGAGGTCATCTGACACACGGAGTGGCGTCTGGCCCCGGCGCCGGCGCTGCTCTCGGGGTCGTACTCGGCCACCGGTGTCAGCATGGGCATGTTGTAGCTCTTGGAGCGCGGCCATCGGCGCAGGAGCCGCTTCTCTGAGAACAGCAAACGAAGGAAGGGTCAGGAGAATGTGCTGCGACCGCTGCGTGAGCTTTACTGTGATGCTGCTCACCCAGAACACACGAGCTCTGCGCCACCGAGCCGTCGCCGGAGAACAGGCCGTGAGTCCCCAGATACGGAGACACCACCTTCTGCACCAGACACTCCAGCTTCAGGTAATCACTGCTCACACCTTTAGACTCGTGAACCCCCTGCGACACACATCACATCAACACCACACTCCATCATTAGCAATCACACGGCGAATCCTCCATAATATCATTTACTATCGTATGCACTCGTCAAATCACTGGTATTTGTGCCATTATTTAACACCCAAAACAAGCATGTCTTAAAGCAGGCGGTAATTTGCGCTGCTCTTGGTAGATTGCGCTGGTTATTATAGAAATTATCTGCTGCTTCTGTGTTCTTTAATGTGCGCATTTTCAGTAAATCACACGCAGAATTGCGCGCTAACACTAATTTGCACGGTTTAGTAAATCTGGTCCAATGAGTTGGATTAATCAGCACTTCAAACTTTGAAAATACGATCTCCATTTCTTTCTAATTCACTTTACAAAAACAAGAAAATAGCTCAACTATAATATGGAAATAACTTTCACTGTATGTTCTGATCACACTACAAAAAAGATGCTCTTCCTCAGCAAATTTGAAAAGATTAAAAAAATCCAAATACACTGAGAAGCAAAAAGACGCGAGACATACAAATATCTGCCAATAAGGCCAGAAAAATCTACTTAAATCAAACAAAACATTGACAGATATTTGTTCTTGTTTTAAGCATAAACTCACTTAATTTTGTTCAATTTCTCAGAAAACAAGACTTCAACCATCTTCATTTTGCTTCTTGATTTAATGATGTTTAGATATTTGCACTGGAAAGCAAGACATTTTTGCAGTGCATGCAACATTTAATGTTATGACTTTATGAATTTAAGACTTTCTGCTCTGATTTAAGACCTTAAAGGTGCTGTATGTAATTTTTGGACCCTTCTAAAGCCAAAAAGTAACACAATATGCTTGTAGATATTAAGGAAACATGTTATATTTACATAGCTGTTTCTCTGAAAAATAATGTTATAGTAATTCTACTCTGAAATGTGCGCTCCGGGGTTTTGCGGGACCCATGTCAACCGCTAGCTGGCAATATTACATACTGCACCTTTAATGGCCTAAATTTGTAAAAGGGCAAATTCAGACTTTAAGAGCAGCAGAAACCCTGCCAGCAGCTGTGATTTATGATCAAATATCAGCAGCAATCACATCTGACAGATCACTGTGACAGAGATGGAAAACTGAACAATAAAACAAAACTATGATGAGCCCTTTAAAATGCAGCATGCAGACACACAGGAAATAAAACCACAAACAAAGCAGAAACACACACACACACACACACCTTGTGAAGAATCAGTAAGGTGTACATAGATTTGTCTGAAGGTCAGAGATGATGCACAGAAAACCACAAATATACACACGTCTCACAAACACTCACAATACGACACGTTTGCTTGGAAATAAAACTCAGTTCACATACGTGTACACCAAAACACACTCGCATTTGTCTTGTGTGATTCCGTCGTGTAAGTTTAAGATGCGTTACACACAAAAACCCACTGCAAACTCACAGGGAAGCTGACAGTTTCAGCTCTGCGTCGACTCAGGAAATCTAGAGCGTTATGAAACATGTTTCTGATGTTTGTTTACACGAGCGTCTGAAGGGTTGCTGGAAAACGGCTGCATCTGTTCTGTAGCACACACACACACACACACTCTCTCACACTCACACTCACACACACACACACACCTGCAGGATGAGCAGCATCTGAATGATGGAGGCCGGCACACGGGCCCGCGGTCGAGTCAGAGCATCGTCCAGCTTTATGTTGAGAGTGATGGTGTTCCTGAAATGCAGCAGAGCCAGCTGACGGACAGACGGCTCCTTCCCCTGAACACACACACAGAGTCTCAAATACACCACCAGTTCATCCTTTACACACTCTCACTAGTTCAGACCAAATAAATCTGCTCTATCAGCAAAATAAGAGTATTAGAGTGTTTGGTGAAGTACCTGGACGGGGTAGAAGATGGCCTGCAGCATAGACAGAACATCACAGAAGAAGAAGTCCCACATTTCTGCCAGAGAATCCAGCAGCTTCTGACCTGCACACTCACACACACACACACACAGACACAGACAGACAGACAGACAGACAGACACACACACAGAGACAGACAGACAGACACACACACAGAGACAGACAGACAGACACACACACAGAGACAGACAGACAGACACACACACAGAGACAGACAGACAGACAGACAGACAGACAGACACACACACACACACAAACAAACACACACAGACAGACACACACTCTCACGCACGCACACACACACACTCACACAGACACACACACACACACACACACACACACACAGACACACTCACACACTCACACACACACACACACACACACAGACACACACACACACACAGACACACACACACAGAGACACACAC